GATTTTTATTTCTTTATTTGACAGAGAGAGAGAGCAAGAACACAAGCAGGGGGGTGGGAGAGGGAGAAGCAGACTCCCCGCTGAGCAGGGAGCCCGATGTGGGGCTCGATCCCAGGACACCGGGATCATGACCTGAGCCGAAGGCAGACGCTTAATGACTGAGCCACCCAGGTGCCTCAGTCTCCATTTTATTAATGAGGAAGCCAGGTCTCAGAGAGGGGAGGTCCCTTGCCGAAGGTCATACGGTCAGGGACAGAGCCAGGATGAGAACCCTGGGGGTGTCCAGAGGTGGACAGTCACGGAAGGCAGGCCGAAGCTGGTAAGGGGACTGGACTGTGGGTTCTGGAACCGGGTGGCCCTGGGTTTAAATTCAGCTGTGTCACTAGTTTACTAGATCACTTCATCACCCTGAGCCCCATCATTCAGCCGTAAAGTGATGGGGGGAATAAAACATCTTATTGGGCCCCTTGCGAGATGGTTCTCTTGGGGTTGGTGCCAGTAGGCACCTGGTACATACCTGTCGGGGGGCTGATCAGCTGCGTGGAAGAGGTGGACGAGCCCAGGGCCTGGAGGGGGGATGGCAGCTTCTGAGGAACAGCTTCTCGGTGCCTGGCCCCACCGGGCGCTGGCCCTTACGTGCAGCCTCCTTTCCAGCCCTGCTGTCCTATTCCGCCTGGGCTCTCGGCCTGCCAGGCCACCCCACCCCGGCAGCTGCTGCACAGCCCAACCCTGTTTATGGGCAGCCAAGCCCGCCCCCAGCTTCTGAACACGTCCCTCACTGTCCCATCTCTGGCCTTGCTTATGACCTCAGACCTAAAGCTCGTCTCTCGTCAACATCTTATATTCGCCCTCAACCACAGTTCACCTGTTCTCATAATGTGTATTGTTCGGTTCCTGCATAGTATGCAGCAAGAGTCGCCATTATTATAGGTTATCATTATTGTATTAGACGTTATAAAACAATCACACGGTATCACAGCAGGTTATCTGCGGTCCTACAGGATGGTGCCCTGTGGGTGCGCTTGGAGTGCTTGAATTCAAATCCCAACTTGACCACTTATTTGCTCTGTGACTTTGGGGAAATTATCTAACTTTCCTCTCCCTCAGTTTCCTCATCTATGAAATGGGATAATAATAGTAACTACCTGATAAAGTTATAAGAAATTAGCAACCTAGAATGGAAGTTTGATAAGAGTGGGATTTGGGGCTGTTTTGTTCTTTGCGGTATCACCAATGCCTGGCTACTGCCTGAGACATAGAAGCTAGTCAACAAATATTTGTTAAATCAATCTGTGCAATAGTGAGGTAATGCGTATAAAGTAGCACTAAAGCGCTAATAGAAATACAATACAAGCCACTTATAATTTTAAGATTTGTAGAAGCCATGTTAAAAAAAGTAAAAAGGTAAAATTAATTTTAATAATATATTTTTTAACATAATGTATCCAAAATATCATTGCAACATGTTATCGATGTAAGATTATTACTGAGATTTTTAAATCTCTATGCCCAACATGGGGCTCAAACTCACAACCCTGAGATCGAGAGTCACATGCTCTACCAACTGAGCCAGGCAGGCACCCGTGAGATATTTTCTATTCTTTTTTTCCTACTAAGTCTTTGAAATCTGGTATGTATTTTACCCCTACAGCACATTTCAGCTATACAACAATAATATCGTAAGCAATGTCCTACCAAAAACTAAGTCATATTTAACAAATATTTTTGTTTCTAAATTTAAAATAATTAAAATT